GTCAATATAGGTAAAACTACCTGGCCTAGATTTCAAGTACTGGAGCCCAATCGGTTTGAGTACGATTAGAAGTCTCATCGTGAAACCTTTTATGGTAGACAGTCACACTAAAAAGATACAAGGGTTGAATTTTTCCAAACTCTTTATTAAAGTAGACATCGATACACACTTGCCAAAAAGGGTGATGTTTAAAAATGAAAGGGAAATCTGGTGGAGCATAAAGTTCAATATAACTGGAGGCTAAAAACATGTAAATTCTTCAAAAAAAAATGTATGGGCACACTATGAAGGGATGCAGGAAGAATAAACCACCAGGAGAGATGAAAGACTAGGGTCTGACCATGATCGAGAAAGGAAAGACTAAGGTAGATGAGGGAGTGCCACAACGTACACAATTTGGGGGTACAAAGACGGGAACTGAAAAGAGGACAATGACACCATCTCCAACAAAGCAAGGTACTATTGAATTGATTAATGCAACAAGGACACAGAGGGATAATAATGTACAACAGAAACACTACAAGCAAAGGAAGATGGGGCTGGTTAAGAATACCTTTCAAGTGTGGAACAATGAATCAATAAATACACATGAAGTGACAAGTCAATCCAGGAATATGGGAGGTAGTAATATCCCTATTATTGGGCATGGATATCATGTTATGCTAGAACGTTAGGGGTTTCAATTGCCCTAATAAGCAAAAGGACGTTAATATCCTTTGCAATATAAAGAGGGTAGGACTAATTGGGATGATTGAAACAAAAATAAAAGTTGAGAAGATCAAGGAAAATATTTGGGGGATGGGAATTTATCATAAACCTACAACATCACTACAATGGAAGAATCTAGTTCACATGGAGGCCAGATGTTTTCCACGTAGTGGAAGAAAGTAGTAATGCTCAAGTAGTAAATAGTTGGGTGATACATAATGGAGTAAGAATTCCATTCCTACTAATAGTGTTTGATTTTTTTAATACCAAAGAGGACAAGAAGGATCTGTGGAGGTATCTAGAGAGGTTAAGAATGTGATGTAACGATTAATAGCTCATCATGGGGGATTTTACTCAATTCTCAATATAGATGATAGATGTGGTGGGAATTATATCTCGGTGGTCAAAGTACTAGACATGCAGGCATGTATTGCAAAGTGTGGACTCGTAGAACTCCCTCCATAGGGGGTAGATACACATGGAGTGATAAGCAAGGAAGTAGTAGGATTTTTTAAAAAATTGACTAGGTGTTTGTAAACACAATATAGTTGAACATGATGCCAGATTATAGTGCTACTTTCATCAATAAGGTAATAAGTAATCATTGTCCAACGAAGCTAGAGAGGATTAATGGTAGTAACAGAAGGTCTTAAACAATTTAAATAATGTAGTGTATGGTCTAGCCACCCAAAGTTTATGAAAATAGTAGAAGCAATCTGGAAAGGAATTCATGTTAGAGGATGTAAAATGTTCCATGTGGTGAAGAAACAAAAAATAGTGGCAGAGGCAGATGAAGATAGAGAGGCATTGAATTTAGCACAGTCTGCTCTACATGTCAACCCCATGGATGTTACTCTCCAACAAAAAGAAAAAGAGCAATATCATAAATTCATAAAATCTTCTTATTTAGCATATGTGTATCTACAACAGAGAAGCAAAGTAACTTGGATTCAGTTAGGGGATGATAATTCCAGATACTTCTTTCTGTGATCAGGCACAAGAAGCTTCAACAAGCTATTATGCAATTGAAAGATAGCAGTAAGTTCTTCAAACATAATATGATCATATAGCTAAAGTATTTGTGGCAGTTTACCAATAATTATTAGGTAAGGAATTTCTTGAGATATGATCATACATTAACATTCGTTCAGCAGATTGAGTTAGTAAGTGAATATACTGAAAATGATGTAAAGAAAGCCATTTTTAGCATTGGCAGTAATAAGATCCCCGATACAGATAGATATGAAAGTTATTTCTATAAAAGCCTTGGAGTGTGGTGGGAAATGATGATACGGAGGCAGTTTTGCAATTCTTTAGGAATGGAGAACTTTTGAAACAGTTAAATGCTATAATAATTTCTTTAATTCCCAAAGTACCTACCCCACAATTGGCTAGTCAATTTAGACCCAATTCATGTCTTAATGTCCTATATAAATGCATCTCCAAATTATTATGTGAATGATTGAAGGGTGTACTTCGTAGCTTGGTGTCCGATAAACAAGCAACTTTTGTTAAAGGGATGTCTTTAGTACACAATGTATTGATATGTCATGATCTACTGAGGCACTACAATAGGAAGGTTTCACCAAGGTGTATGATGGAGATCGACTTGAGAAAGGCATGTGACATGGTTAGCTAGGAGCTTGTTACAAAAAAACTAGAGGGGTATGGTTTTCCTAGCTCATTTATTCAAATGGTTATTGTGTGTATATCATCTACAATTTTTTCTGTAAGGATAAATTGAGAGGGACATGACTACTTTAGCGGACAGAGAGGGATGAGGCAAGGGGATCCAATCTCTCCTTTGTTGTTTGTGCTGGTTACAAAATATCTCACTCGGACACTTAGCAAGATAAGTGAACTTCTAAGATATCAAATTTCATCCCTTGGAGATGTTCTGCAAAGGGGATATAAGGTCCATTCAAAGAGTCCAGGAAGCTTTGGAGCACTTTAGTGATACCACTGGTTTACTGGGTAATGTGGAGATATCCAATATTTTTCTACCTGGGATCATTGATGAGTTAAAAGAGGAGATACTAACCATGCCAGGATACTCTATAAGTACTCTACCTATTAGGTATCTTGGGTTGTCACCATCCTCAAAGAAACAGGGTAAGATGTAATGTCACCAACTCGTGGAGAAGATTACGGATAGGGTAACTAATACTTATGCTAGGAAACTCTCTTATGAAGGAAGACTACAAATAGTCAATGTTGTCTTCTTTTCGATATTCAACTTTTGGGGTGCAATATTTATCTTACCTCATAGTGTACTTAAGGCAGTGAATAGAAAATGAAAAGATCTCGTATGAGGAAGTATTGTAGATCAGAGAAAGGCACCTTTGGTTACTTGGAAAAGGTGTGCCTCCCAAAGAAATTTGGAGGACTAAATGTTAAGGGGTGCAAAAATTAGAATGAAGCTTCATTTGACAATTTATTATGGCAGGTTTCAGAGAAAAAAGACATTCTCTAGATAAAATGGGTACATGGAGTGTATATAAAGCAACATAAAAATATATGGAATCACATGCCACCTACAGACTATAGTTGGTACTTGAGGAAGTTAACAAACTAAGATGGAAGATTGGTACCAAAATGAAAAATGCAAGTTGATAAAATGTGGCATTTATTCAGTCACATGGAGCTATGATGCACTGATAGGGGCTCAAACCAGGCTTTGGAAAGCAAATCTTATATGGACAAAAATTATGCAGCCAAAACATAGATTTATCTTATGATTGGCAAACCAAAACAGGTTGCTCACCAAATCTAGAATGATGAGACTAAACATTCATGTGGAAGATGCAAAGTATTGTCTCTATTTGGCAAGGGTGATAGAATCTCATCAACACTGGATTACTACAGTTTGACATGGTCTAGAAAACTGGACAGAGGTCCAAATGGTTCAGAAGGATGTCCCAGAAATGGTTGAAACGAAGGAAATTGAAGCAAATATAAAAGGAAGTCTTTGTGGCAATATGGGGGCAATGATCTATCACACATGGAACCCAGAAATTAGAAGATTTTTCAAAGCATAGATGTGAGTATGACTTGTGCGATTGTACATATAGAGAAAGATGTGAGAGATCGAATAGCCATTCCTAGAACACAAGGGGTGTCATGAGATGTTAGATTCTGCTGAGAAGATTAACTAGAGAGTGAATAGTTTAGATCAACAAAATGAATTTGTTTATATTTGGTAAGACCTTATTTTTTATTTTCCTAGAATGGTTTTGCTTGAGACCTGGATAGTCCTAAACCTTTTCTTGGGCGCGGTTGGGACAAGAGGTACTCTTTAGGTTGTAAATTTGATGTTTTCATGTTGGAGTAATGGTAGTAGTTTATAGTTATTACCAAAAAAAACATCTTAGTTATATATCTTTTTTTTTCATTACTTAATAAATTTAGTTTTTTTAAAGCTATTGAGATTTTTGTATAATTATGTTAAGTGATATTGTATTTACGCTCTTTCTCAAGAAACATCTTAAAAGAAAAAATCTCAACAATAATTTATAACCAAAATTTATCTTTTGGGGGCATACATGCATAGTTAGATTCCTCTTCTATCCGACTAAATTAGTATTTTTAAACAATATATATTCAATTTAATTCACATGTTAGTTAATATATTTTTTGTTTATTTAAAACAAGTATTTCTAGCTAGGTAAGACAAGCATTTAGAACAATCAAGAACTTTCAAAAAGGAAATTTTACAAATCAAACGAAACTAAATAATTGCCAAAAATACAGTTAAAACGAATTATTGATATATATAAAATTAGAATTAGAAAGTAGTTTTGAGTCATTCCAAAACTGTGAAGGAACTTTTTATCTAATAGATCGAATAAAGAGCAAACTTGAATAAATTCTAATAGATTATAGAACATTTTTTTATCCAATAAGTGAAAGAAGAGAGAAATATTATGAACGAGTGAAAAAAAGAATATTTTAAGTTCATTTATAATATGAATACTTTTGAACCTTTTTGAAAAAAATATATTATTTATGTGATACATTTCATTTTTCGAAAGTCAAATAAATATAAGTTTGATCAGAAATTTGCTTATGCAATATTCAATTTTTTAAAATGAAATATATATATATTTATAAACTATGTAAAACGTATTATAAATCACAATAATTGACCATTCAAAATATTTAAAAGATATATAAAAAATATATTATTAAAAATTAATTTATTTAAATCTCAAAATTCTAAACATGTCACACCGATGAAGTATTATTTTATATTTTTGATTTGTGGAATATGATAGTACATTGTATACACATTTTGTTGGTAGTGGCTTTTTGTAGCTGTCTCCTTCACTAAAAACCCTGAGCTTGTTTGTCCTTCTCCAATGGCGACTATCTGCAAACCCTCCATCTCTCTGTTTTTGTCATTGTCATTGTTTGTTGTGAGTTGTGCTATGGATGAAGGTGATAATCTTCTAAGATTTAAAGACTCTATTAATGACCCTTTAAACCTTCTTTCAAGCTGGTCTAAACACTCGACAAGTGAATGTAACTGGAGAGGTATCACTTGTACATCTTCTTCTTCCATATCTTCTATTAACCTTGTAAGTTTCAATCTTTCAGGTTCAATCTCATCTTCTATCTGTGAACTTCCTAATCTTGTTCATCTCAATCTTGCAAATAATCTCTTTAATCAGCCTATACCTCTGCATCTCTCACAGTGTGCTTCTTTACAGAGTCTTAACCTCAGTAACAATCTCATTTGGGGCACTATTCCTGACCAGATTTATCTGTTTCAGTCACTCAAAATTCTTGATTTCAGTAGAAACCATCTACAAGGAAGGATCCCACAAGGCATAGGCTCATTGAAACACCTTCAATTTCTCAACTTGGGAAGCAACTTGCTTTCAGGTCCTTTTCCTCTCATTCTTGCTAACTTAACTCAACTTATCATTCTTGATCTATCTCAAAATCCATTCTTCCTCACTCACATTCCTCCTGATATTGCTAAACTTACTAAGCTTCAGATGCTTTTCTTGCAAAGCTCTGGTTTTTATGGTGAAATAGTACCAAACTTGTTCCAGGGTTTAAAAAGTTTGGTCATTTTGGATTTATCAAACAATAATATCACTGCTACTTTACCAAAAGTTGGCTTTTCTCTACCAAACTTGGTATCTTTTGATGTTTCACGAAACAAGCTTTCTGGCCCATTTCCAAATGGTATATGTGAAGCCAAAGGTCTTGTCCATCTTGGTTTACATACAAACTTCTTCAATGGTTCAATACCTAATGACTCCATTAACAAGTGCATGAATCTTGAAAGGTTTCAAGTTCACGACAACTTGTTCTCCGGGGATTTTCCTTCATGGTTATGGTCATTGCCCCGAATAAAGCTCATCACAGCTGAAAACAACAACTTCTCTGGAGAAATTCCTGATTCCATATCAGGGGCTGCTCAGTTGGAGCAAGTTCAGATTGATAATAATAGGTTTGCTAGTAAAATTCCGCAAGGTCTTGGGTTGATTAGAAGCTTGTACAGATTTTCTGCATCTGTCAATGGTTTGTATGGTGAGCTTCCTACAAACTTGTGTGATTCACCAGTAATGAGCATTTTAAATCTGTCACATAATTACCTCTCTGGAACAGTTCCTGAATTGATGAATTGCAAAAAGATAGTCTCCTTCTCACTAGCTCATAACAATTTGATTGGTGAAATACCAAAATCACTTGGTGCACTGCCTGTTTTAACATATCTTGATCTTTCCCAGAATAATCTTACTGGTCAAATTCCACAAGAGCTTCAGAACTTGAAGCTTGCTTTATTTAATGTCTCATTCAATCAGCTATCCGGTAGAGTTCCAGCTTCATTGATTTCTGGCCTTCCTGCTTCATTTTTGCAAGGAAATCCTGACCTCTGTGGTCCAGGATTCTCCAATTCTTGCTCACAAGAAAAAGCAATGCCTAAGGGTGTTAATCTTTCAAAATTAGCATCCGCCTTATTAATTTCAGCTGTTGCAATTTCTTCGATAATTGCTGCTGCTGTTGGATTTTACATTATAAGGCGGTGTAGGAAACAAAGATCCGAAATGAATGGTTGGAGATCAGTTTTTTTCTACCCTTTGAGAGTTGCTGAGAATGATGTGATGATGCAAATGTGTGATAAGAATGCTAGAGGAAATGGGGGAACCTTTGGAAGAGTTTATATTGTGAATTTACCAAGTGGGGAGCTGATAGCTGTGAAGAAGTTAATGAATTTCGGAACTCATTCTTCAAAATGTGAGATAAATACTTTAGCAAAGACGAGGCATAAGAACATCACAAAAATTCTTGGATTTTGTTACTCTAATGATGCGATATTCTTGATATATGAATATGTAGCAAGAGGAAGCCTAGGGGATCTGATTGGGAAACCTGATTTTGAATTACCATGGAGTGTTAGGTTGCGCATTGCCATTGGAGTAGCTCAAGGACTTGCATATCTTCATAAAGATTACCTCCCACATTTACTTCATCGAAACCTGAAATCAACTAATATTCTTCTTGATGCTGATTATGAACCAAAGATGACCGATTTTGCTCTAGACCGGATAATTGGAGAAGCTGCATTTAAGTCATCTTTGGGTTCAGATGCTTCCTGTTATTTGGCACCAGGTACTGAATTATGCTTTGAACAAAAGTTAATGGTTTGAGATGATTAATGAACATTGTTACGTATTTGCAGAATATGGATACACGAAAAGGGCTAGTGAGGAAATGGACACATACAGCCTTGGTGTAATCCTTCTAGAGCTTATAACAGGGCGGCAAGCAGACAAGGCAGAATGCGGTGATGTGGTAAAGTGGGTAAGAAGGAAAATCAACATTACAAATGGAGCACTTGAAATTATTGATCCCAAAATTTCAAGTGCTTCTCAACATGAGATGCTTGGAGCTCTCGACATTGCTCTGTGCTGCACGTCTGTAATGCCAGAGAAACGACCTTCAATCTTCCAAGTTCTGAGGATACTGCATTCTCTCCATTCAACATCCAACCTTCCATATATCCATCAACCATCCACTTCCACCTATACTCTTTCTTAATTCTGCTCATGTACCCCTCCTATAAATGCTCAAATTCCCCATATATTTTACTATTTCGAAATGCCTTTAACTATCCAAATTCCCCACCATATATTATATTTGGTTCTAAACATCTCTTTCTTCTTTTGACTTCTTGTTTTTTAAATGAAGGAATGAGGAGTCTTTGTACTTGACTTGAATTGCAAGGACAGCATGACGTGCAAGACTTATGTATTTGACTTTGATCGTCAATTTAACTCTTCTACTTACGACTTTGATAACTAAACACTTAAATTTAATGAAACACAATACTTTAAACCATTTTGACTTTACGTGCAATTCAAACACACAATGAAAATGACATGTCATCATCCACATCAGAATTTTAGTGATGCATGCATTACTTATTTTGTACTTTATTTTTCTTGTTCTTACCACTTCTTCCTTACTATCTCTATCTTTGACCACCTACCTACATTTTTTATTGCAATCTTACATCCTTATTGGTGACCATTGAATGAACACGTTTCTTTCATTAATGCCAATGAATCACACGAAAATATCTTAATATGCTATGTACACAATTTTCACTTCGCCTAATTTTACAAAGACACAACAATCACTCTTCACTCTCCAAAATAATCAAATTTGTCACCTCGTCGCCGATAAATTATCCTTCCATGTTCCCCAATAGTTACTCTTCATATATTCTATCTCACAAACACTAAAACATTGAAGCAATTACCTTTAGAAAAGGATTCCTGAATTTTTTTTGCCAACATATTAAAGAAGATGAAAATGGGAAAGGGAGAAATAGAGAGATGGGGATTGGATGAGGGAAGAATGATAGTAGGGGTGTCAAATGGACCGATCGGATTGAAATTGAAGATATTAAAATGAGTTAAAATAAAAATCAAGTTGGATCATGGCCTGCCCAAATTTACTTTGGACTCAAATGCAGTGGTGTACGCAAAAAAATTTGTAAGCCGTGTCGATATCTAAAAATAATAAACAATCAATAATTGATATAACAATATTATATTAATAAAAACTATTTAAAATGTACTGCTCTCTCTGTCCTAATTTATGTGACACTTTTAGTTTTTCGAGAGTCTAACAGTTTAAGTTTGACAGGAAATTTACGCATGGAATCTTCAATTTTTTTGAAATGAAACATATATATTTATAAACTGTGTAAAAAGTATTATAAGTCACAATAATTGACAATTCAAAATATTTAAAAGATATATGAACAATTTGCGGTAAAAAATAAACTTGTTTGAATCCTGAAATCTGAAAAGTGTCACAAAAAATGGGACGGAGGGAGTAATAAAATATGAATCAAGTAAACTAGTATAACTACTCCTCAAAGATAGTACTCCATCTGTCCCTAATTACTTGTTCACTTTTGAATTGACACATCTATTAAGAAAACAATTATTGACATAATAAGTTTACCATTTTACCCCTATTAATTATGCAGTGGATGAATTAAAAACTTAGGATTTCAAGAATTTCTACATTTTTCAAAGTAATTAATTGAGGGTATAATGGGTAAAAAAAAATGTCCTTTCTTGATTTATCAAAATGGACAAGTAATTAGAGACAACTAAAAAAGAAAATGTAGACAAGTAATTAGGAACATAGGGAGTACTAAACATTCTAGTGCAATTGGTAATTTTAGCCTAATTTGACTATGAATAGGAGGTTGGAAGTTCAAATCCCTATGCTATTAAACTTTTCTCTTAAAATGACCCAAAATTAAAAGTTGTCATGGCTCGAACTCAGCCATGCTGGTAAGAATGACAATTCCATTCGCGCTAAGGTTAATTGTTCAGTTTCAACGAAGCAGTGTCGGTTGGCAACTCTTCACATAGAGTGGATCTGTCCCTCTCCTAAAATGGACTAAAACAAGCCAAAAAAGTCAATTGTTCAGATAGTGTCATTAATATTATATATAATACTAAAAAATTTCAACGAAGCTATGTCGGTTGACAACTCTTCACATAGGGTGGATCTGCCCCTCCTCAAATGGGCTAAAAATTGGGTTGGGCGATGACCCGCCCAATTTGATCCGCTTAATATCAATAATGTTAACATATTATTACCAACTTTTATAACCACAATTTGAATTTCAACTCAAGAAAATAAAATAAAAAGTTACAAATGCACAGAAAAATCTTAGAAGATATAAAATATATAATAATAATTCATACCTTCAATATGAGAGCATATATTACATCAATACAAATAGAAATGATTAAAACATATTGAAATTGAAGACTAAATTGGGCTCAATTGAAGATTTTTTTTAAATGGATTACGGTTTAAATAAATTGAGATTGACCGAATTCAAACTATCTTGAGCGTAACGATAAAATTTTGGACGGATTGGACGGTTTACCTGTATTTAGGCTTATCCCTAAACGATAGTGATGATAATGGGTAGAAAGAGAAAAAATATTGAGAAAAAGAGAAAGATGTGATAAATTTTATATCTATTTATTTGTCTTCTTATTTATTTCTTTTAATAATTTTTAGTCTAAAATTTTCTATTTACGTTCCTTTAGAGAATGAAATTACGCATTTGTTCCAACTTGACTATTAAATAGCCGGTCAAATGAGTTTGAAAAATTTGTGTTTTATTGAATTTAAGTATTGAGTTGACAATATTGTAAATAGAAAAGTTTAGTTGACAATTCGAGTCAAGTATAGAAACTTGTAAGGTCATTCAGCCTCTTTTATTATTATAATAAAACGTTAACCCCCCAAACAATACCTAGGGATACTCAAAATCTATATATATATATAAAGTTGAATCTAAGCAATCCTATGTGGCACCTCTCTATGGACATCATTCTTATTTATCTTTTTTCTCAATTTTTTGAATTTTTTTATTCGTTTCAATAATCTATTAAATACCTCTAATGCATCATTAACTTACAATTAAAGAGGATAATGAAAAGTTTTTAACATAAAGAATATCTTTATTGTTGCGATAGAGAATGAAGAGTTGTAACGGTTGTCAAGAACTTATTGCAATCAACCAATTAAAAATCTATATAAAAAAAAAGGTAGAATAGCACATAATCTGAACCACATAATCTCACTACTAAAAAACTACAAAAAAACGATGGATAGAAAAGCGACAGACGGCGTCGCTCCAAAAAGCGACGCCATTTGTCACGCTATCCGACGCTTTTTAATAAAAATAATTATTTATAAAATTATTTTACAAAAAGCAATGGACGGCATCTCTTAGTTAGTCGCTTTTTTCGCGGAATTTTGCGCCATATATATATATATATATATATAATTAATAAACATTTATTTAATATGTATAGTGACGCCGTCCGTCGCTTTTAATATATTTTATTTTATTAATTTTTTTTATTATAGAGACGAACGGCATCTTTAAGTCTGTCGCTTCTTGGTCAATAATATATGGTCAACACTTTAAATAAGCGACGGACAGTGTCATTTAGTCCGTTGCTTTTTGGTCAAAATGTAGGTCAAACATTTTTTAAAAAGCGACGGACAAAGAGACGTTGTCCGTCGCTTTTCATTTAATTATGTTACAGCAGTGATGGGTTTCCCCCAAATTTCCCATTCTCTTTCTCTCTTTTCTCTCTCTTCTCTCCCTTCTCGCCCCGTCGCCAAACCATCGATTGTCGCCACCACCACCGTCCGTTGTCGGTGCCATCATCCTCCCCCCGTCGTCGGCTAACCCCAGCTACCACCCCACCCAAAAGAATTCCCCAACTGGGACTCCGGCTAGAAAGATGGTCCCAGTTCAGGCGATGCATTATCTACCTCTCATTCCTAAGTTAAAGAGGTTGTATGTATCGATGAGGTCTGCCCCCACATATGAGATGGCATCGTGAATATAGAAGGTCGTCTCTGATGGTGAAGCATGGAAACATTTTGATAATGTATATCCTGATTTTTCTAGTAAACCAAGAAATGTTAGATTGGGGATGTGTTCAGATGGCTTTACACCATTCTCTCATGCAGCTTCGCCTTATTCATGTTGGCCGGTATTTCTTACTCCGTATAATCTTCCTCCTGAAATGTGCATGACCAGTCCCTACATCTTTCTAAGTTGTGTTATTCCAGGTCCCCGTAATCCAAAAAGTTTGATTGATATCTATATACAACCATTGATAGATGAGCTCAAACAATTGTGGTTTGGAGGCGTTTTGACTTATGATATATCAACTAAGCAGAATTTTGTTATGCGTGCTTCTTTAATGTGGACTATTAATGATTTTCCTGCATACGAGATGCTGTCTGGTTGGATGACAACTGGAAAGCTAGCATGTCTGTATTGCATGGAAAATAGTAAGTCATTCACTTTAAAGCATGACAGAAAAAATACATGGTTTGATTGTCATCGCCAGTTTTTGCCAATGGACCATGAGTTTAGAAAGATGAAAAATGCATTTAGGAAAAATAAGGTTGAAAGTGACCTCCCACCTCCATTACTCACAGGGCATCAAATTTGGGAGAGAGTTTCTCAATTACCTAAAGTTACATAAGCTTCACCTTCTAGACTTCCTGGATATAGTGTTGAACATAATTAGACCAAACAAAGCATATTTTGGAAGTTGTTGTATTGAAAGGAAAATTTGCTACGACATAATCTTGATGTGATGCACATTGAAAAAATTATTTTGACAATTTGTTTAACACAATGATGGATGTTAAGGGTAAGACAAAAGACAATCCAAAAGCCAGAATGGACTTAAAGGAATATTGTAGGATAAAAGAGTTATGGCTGCAGGAATTACCTAATGGTAGAATAGTTAAGCCCAAAGCTAGCTTTTCATTCACATTGGATGAGAAACGTGAAATTTGTGAGTGGGTTAAAAATTTGAGGATGCCAAAGGGCTATGCTTCGAATTTATGAAAGCGGGCAGATATGAATGAAGGAAAATTGATAGGTATGAAAAGTCATAATTGCCATGTGTTTATGGAAACCTTAATTCCTATCGCTTTTAGCCATCTACCAGAAAGGATATGGAAACCAATCACAGAGGTAAGTCTTTTTTTTAAAGACTTGTGTTCTGGAAAGTTGTTGGAAATTAGTTTTAGACAGGATGGAGGAAAATATTGTTGTTATTACTACTAAGTTGGAGAAGATATTTCCATGTGGTTTCTTTGATGTGATGGAGCATCTTCCAATTCACCTTGTACAAGAG